ATGTTGATAGACAACGCTTGACAATGGTATACTAGAGAGTTTGTTGTTGGAATAGATCTTTAAATGGCAGGAAACTGGATGATAATTTTTTCATTTCGATACTAAGACAATTATTGGGTTTACGAGGGTTAATAAAAAAAACGATAAATAATAGAAAAAGTAAGTTAGGGGAATAAGGCGGAAGGGAATGAAGGAAAGTGAATGAGACTAATGAGTGGATTAATTTAGTTTCCTGGAATTAGGTGATAAGTGTAAGGTCAGGTCCTAATTCCTTGGCTGTGAGGCTGAAATCAAGAATATATACATACATGCTAATAAAAGTTTTTAATAATAGATGTAGCGAGAAGATGGAACTAGATTAAGAAAATTTGAAAATTCTTCTCTGGTCTGTAGAACCAAAGAAGGAGGATTATTAAATTTCCTTTCATCTTGAAATTGATACTTAAGCACCTGAATATTGGTTGATCGACGTTTCGACAAAAGTGGAACGGTTCAAGTTCGAAAGCGCGAAAAAGCTAGAGAAATTTCGACTCTTTTCTTCGTCTTATTCGGGATTACTTTTCCTCGACCCCTGTCGTTTCGCAGAAATAATATTTGCAATATTAGGGTGTGCACCCCTCCGATGGTTTGAATCGATTCGCACACATTAGTCGACGTACTTTGAAAGCAATTTCGTGTAGGTCTTCCAGGGTATTGGAAAAGTGTGCTCTGTCGTCATTGCGTAATGTTCCATTATCGATGTGCCAGGTGGCAAAGCGTGTCCGTTCTTCTTTAACGAAAATCCTTTTGGAAGTCAAGATGGAAGGAGCAGAAAAAAACGGAATAATGAAAAATACACTGACAACTCCTGAAATAAATGAACGATTAATTATAATAATAGAATCAATTGTACAGCGAGTGGATTTTTCTAAAAACAAGATAATTCGAGACTAGACCGATAACAGTTGGCTTTATTATGCTAAATCTGCACGTCGATCAAGGCTAGCCGACTTATCAAGACTCGTTCCACCTCAATAAATTCGTCGAAACAGCTTAAACCAAGCGAGATGAAACGGGGACAATAGCTTTCAATAATTCTCGTCCGATGTAGCTTCGGTGTGTTATCTTAGTAACAACAGGAATCACTGAACTGGTTCATAAGATCACATACTTCGAAGTAAAGGCGAGCACAATGTTTATTTTGATAACAATAGACTTCGTACATAATCTGTACTAACCCATTAAGCACCAAGCAGTGAAATAATACAATTTTTGCACAAAGGAATTTTTATTCTTTAAAAATTTACGTGCCTAAATGGAAGAAATATAACGATGAAAAATTATTATGCAAATTCTTGGAATTCCCTCTCATAACCACAATGTTAAAGACCAGAATTCAATAGTGTAAGCTGACTAAGAAAAATTGCAAATAAAATGTTGCATTAATGCAAGATTGGTCCTTAATGGGTTAGGATCTTGTAAGTTTAATTGATTGGATAATAGCTATTATTGTTCGTATGAACATGAAACATATTTTTGAGAGTCCGTCAATGCATAAAAACCAGTGAATCTGTGAAAAATAGAAACTTCGAAGTGTTCATAATAATTTTGATCACTAACTAATATTAAATCGCAGGATTATCTTCAATTCACTATTCGAAACTTCGAATTCGGGCAGTGGATTTCACCATGTCTGTTTCGAGACAAAACAGACGTAGATACGACTGTCCCGAAAACTACACATCTTCCATTACACCGAACGGAGCCGGGGGAACGCTAAAAGCAGAAGTAGAGGACCATCGATCCGTGCGCGAGTTTCGGGGGGGACGATATTCAAAACGCGTGCCGCGTCTAAGAGGAAATATGAGGAAGTGTTAGACACGTGTATCGAGTGCGGTGCATCGCGACGCGTTCGTGTCTTGCCTCGCCGCGAAATAAAAACTAGGCCACCCGGTGCTTCCTAGCCCATCCACGGTCCCGCGAAGCTCTCAAGGAAAGTGGAAAAATTCTGTCAGCAAAAGAAGTGGGGAGTGGGCGGACGCCAGCAAAAAAGACGTCGACGATTCTCGCGGACGGTCGTCTGGATCACGATAAAAAAAGAAACGAAATCTGACGGTGGTCGACGGAAAAACAGAAATTAGCGACTGGAAAAAAGTGGGCGCAATCGGAGAAAGATTTCGCGACAAACGCGAGAACAATGGCACTTCGCAGGATTCGAAAAGACAATGGAGATCAAGTCGACCGTGAGGAGTGCGTAATTATTTCTTAATAGTTTCGCAAAACGAGGTGAAAATTTTATTTCGGTGGTTCAGAGAGTTTATACAGAGCCGCGTAGGTATTTTCTTTGTATGTAATTTGAGTTCTTTTTTTTGGGGGAGGGGGTCTATTTTCTGCACATGCGGATTCATTTCGCGGGAAAAACGTTACGCAAATATTAGCAAAATTCTGTTTTTTTCGGAAAAGTAAAGAACACAGAGGAAGTGGAAATTTTGAAGTAGGTTTAATAATGTTTTTACTTTGCCTCCAGTGCAATAAATCGCTTGGTTAAAGAAGAAAATTTTTCTACGGTTTCGTTATTGGTAAAATAGACGATGATACACGTAACTTTGGTCGAATTCGACCCCGACCGCACCAACAAAGCATTAATTATGTACAAATGAATTCAAGCGTCATTATTCTGTAGACACATTGTTACAGCGTGAACAGATGGGAATGTATGAAAAATTCAAGCGTCACAACTGCAAAAAAATGTAGCAAAACATCAGACATTATGTAACACGACAGTTTTGTTGCGTTCGAGTTAATTCTAGCTTCTTCCAAGATCGAAACGAAGACCCTCTATTATATTCTAACAATTTCCTTTCCATATTAGAGGTACAATAAATAACTCACGTCGAAAAGACTAGCAAACAAGATCTGCAAAAAAGTAGTATGACAGAAGTCGAGGTGGAATCTTTCGTTTCAACCACCTTTCCCTCTCACTATCCGACATCGTTCAAATCTTTCCTGTCTCAATTTAGTCACCGTTTTTTCCGAACTCTGTCAAACTATTCCTCTCCCAGAGAACCTCAAAAATGTATTAAAATCCAGGAACAAAAGAGGCCTGGGGGATGTAGAGCGACGAAATATATTTCCACGACGGAGCATGGGGGGAGATGGAAAGGGGTCGCGATAATATATGCATACAGGAGCAAAATTTAAGGCGAAATTATGCAAAGCAGCGATTCCAGTTCGGGGGTTACGAGTGTCGGCCGGGGTGAACGTCCACACGGGTGTCGAGAAGAGTGGCGTGTGGTTTCCGTGTCGTTTCGCGGCTTCACCCACGGGAAAAAAGAAACGGGAGAGGCCTAGTGGGTCCGTAACGTCATCTTGAGATTAGTAGAGACCGGCCAAGACCTCACCCCCGGAAGTCCCGTTGACGAACTGCTGGCTAAACAGAGCACGAAAGCCCGACAAGAAGGCCTCGCGAGGCGTAAAAGACTTCGCACGAGCGTGTACCGTGTTTCGTCGTCGAATACATAGAAAGAAGGTGAGAGAACGGGAAAAAAGAAGGAAAAGAAGAGGACAAAATATAATGTTAACACAGAAAGAGAGAGAGACAGGTTTGCTGGGGGAGTGTAACAGTTTCTGCGACCTATTTCCGGCTGGCTGGCATGAATAAAGGTGTTTATTTTTCCTGCAGCTCCACCCCCAAACCTCTATTCTTTTCTGAAATCCACAGGTACGAGAAGTGCCTGGAGACCGGTGAAATATACGGAGCGGAACGTGTGCGAGACGTTTGCGCTTGGATAGGATTGATACTTCAATTTGCTTCAGCTTCGCCGGCAAAGAGGGAATTATATCGGGAGTCGAGGGGTTCAAGCGATCTCCTGTCGTTCAGGTTATAAACGACACGACGCCGCTGGGGGGGGGGCGGTTTTGTCCCGTGTAGAAGGTACGCTAATGTGTGAACTTGGGTGGGTTTTTTCTACGAGGGAGTTTGCATAATGGGGAAACCGCGCACGTTAATGATTTGTATGTTTATGTTTTTTCTCTAATGGGTGCGTTTGTTGCAGTAGTTGAAAATTTTGATGATTTATATGTTAAGTGATTTCAGAGATAGATTAAAGTTGGATTTGAAAGGTTACTTAATTGTGGAAGATGTATTCGAAAGATTTAATTGTTTGGTTAAATTGTATTGATAGATTCTATGAGGAAGAATCGAGGAAAAAATTATCTGAACTGATATATAGAAATGTACAGTACACTCTGGCTGGGTAAACGATTGGCTGGCAGAGCTGGACAAATTTTATTTGAAATGAAAATAATATTATTTTAGAAGTTCCCAGGTCTGTTGGCCGATTAATTTGATATGTATCAGTATTCAAACAGCTATCCGGTACTCAAAAATTTACTATGAAGTGAACATGAAATTAGTTAGAAAAAGATTATTTAAACAATAACAAATATGACACAAAGTTAATTCGGTTGGAAAAAAGCCAATAATGTTTCTTCTAGTCAATTGTTTTCATGTCAACAAAAATGTGGCCGGTTAAAGCAAGGCCGGATAATTGGAAGTTTACTGTAGTAAATATTGAAAAGCTATATATAATAATACGACAATCTTGAGAATGAGTAGAAAGGAAGCACATTTAGCGAAATTTAACCTCTGTTTATCTATTCTTAACTCGTATTCTACTCTTGGACGTCAATTCATTACAGTTTTATTCATATTTTATCTTGTAGCTTTTTACTATGTTCTTTAGAAGCATATATCCTCAAAACGCTTATTTCTACTGATTCAACATTCCCCAGCAGTTTGATCCGAAAATTGTAGTACACCCAGTATAACGATCTAATTAATCACACAGCCAGAAGTTTAGCCGACGTGTTTGTAAAGACTCGACGTATACATAACTTCCGAAAGTATTCTCCACGGTGTAGACGGGACAAAGTTTCGCGAAGATCTTTGAGAGGTTTCTGCCTTCGACAAAAGGTTTCAAGACGCGTGTAAAAGGGTGAAGTGTATCAAATTCTCTTACCTGATCCCCTGAGTCCACGTCAAGATTGTTGCCGGTGTTCGTGACCTCCGAAACGTCTTCGATGATCGAATCACCGATGGTGCTGTTGTCGCTTACGACCAGGCCCAGCAGGCATATCTGAAAGAATCAGATGAAAAATTGGTTAGCTTCTCATTTCAACTAGCACTTTCTTCTTCAATAAATTAACCTTATAATATATATGAATAATAATAATAATATGTATAATAAATAATTAAAAAATTAATGTTATTATTACACTAAATAAATAAACTGAATTAAAAGAAGTAAAATATTTTGGAATTACTAATTTCATCTATTCTGTACTGTAACCTCTGAGGTTCGTTTCCATTCTATCTTGATGAAATTTAAAAACTATCATTTAAATGACTGTTAAAACGCACACTAATAAATGTCTAACCTGAATATTCATTGGAATTTACTTTCTTCTCACGACACAAATATGTATGCTTTAGTCAACAGAGTGTGTTAGATGTATCGGAAAATTCACTGAGATGTTCACTGTTAAACGTTCTCTGACAAACTAATGACTGGCGTCTTACTTCACTATACTTCAGGTCAGGGTAACAAAAGCCAGGCTACCTGGGAATTCAATAGAACGATTTCACAACACGTTAAAGTTCAGGGTAAACTCGGTCCATGAAAACAAAACAGAACCATTTCGACGGATTTAATAATATTTACACGCTCTGTAAAGTTCAACATTTTCCCTGATGTCTCCTTTCAATGTAATATATTTCCTTTTCTCTTCTTCTAACTTGCTATTATGAATGATGCATGTAGAAATCAAATGGAGTTCGATTAAAAAAAAAAACAAAACAGGTAATAGTAAATCATACATACAGAAAGAATGTACACCAAAAATTTACACATTCTCGAATATTTCGACGTTATCTTCAACTTCTCTGTATTCAACCGACACACTTTGTATTCCACAAATAAAAAAAAATCACACTGTTCACACAGCATTCGCAAACGCAGAGTCCACAAAGAAATTGTCAAAGGGAGAAAAGGTACGAGGTGGTATGACCTTAGAAGCGTTAATTAGGTACAGCAGAACGCAATCGTTCCCTGACTCGCAGATAGCATAATGGTCGGGTTCACGCGTTTAGAGTGCTCGCGGTCGATTGTTTCGACAAAAATGTGTCGTTCACCGGCGACAGCCTGCGGTTGTAGTGAAATATGGATCCCTCCGGTCGGTGGGTTGTCGCATAACCGAGAAAGCGTCGCTCGAAATTTCCCTGGGACGAGTATACGTGCGCCGAGGAGAGCGGGTCAGCCACCTTGTTACAAAAGTTCTGATCACGGTCAGAGTTGAGCAGAATTTTATTCGAATAATACGTAGTGGAAAGAAACAGTATGTTAAGATCATTATTCTAACCTTTAAACAATTAGTGAGATTAAATAATTCTTTGCCAAGTGTCTACTCATTCAAGAAGGAATGTCGTCTTATTATAAAAATTAGAATTTTCACGTTTAGTCAAGTGGGTAAATACTTTTATTCGTTATTCGAAACGTTCGAAAAATTCGTCTTTCTACCAGTGTCATAACATTATCTTCATTTCTCTTACAATTACTACTGTTTACGAACAGTAACTGTAGTATTAATTATAACAATATATTCCTCGTCATTTTCCATAATTTACCGTTAATTGGTACGTGTAATAGAATACGGTAAGATCGATTATAAACAGATGATACACCGTTCCATGTCTGTGCTTCTGACAAGTAGAAACAGCGAGTAATAGACAGACGCATTAGGGAACTAGAATATTCCCGTTGAACCGATGCATCGCTTGGGTCTGTCAAGGAGATGACACGAATTCTCAAGTAGTGGATATGATAGGGATAACAATATCGTCATAAGAGGGTCAATAAACTATAATTTTGAAAGACGATTAGGTTCACACTCCACACATTTTCAAATTACCTTTTCTTTTAAAGAAATCACATTTGAAACACTTATTCTAAAATTGTCGCTCCTGTGAAAGAATTATTCTATTACGGATTACACCAAGATTTTTTTCAGATCTTGTATAACACTTCCTAAATGATCATATTTCTTCATCGAAAGGTTGAAATAAACAAAATTTTTTTTGGAATCAAATATTAAATGTTTTAATTCAAAGAATAGGTGCTTCGAAAAGTATAAGCACAAATTGTTGAGAAATCAAGTTTTAGGCAGCTTAAAAAATGTTTTGTACTATTCCTTATTTCTTGATGTCCAAGCACTCGCATTACATTGTGATAGTCAAAAAAAGTCAAAATCCGAAATTCAAATTTTCGTCCATGTCGTAATTTTTACAGGGTTCGTCCCGCTGTACGACGTCTTCAGACGCGTATGATAGAGCTTAGCGTCCGGCTGCGCGTTATTAGCGATAAATTTAGTCGCCCCGGATCCGCCCTGTAATTAAAGGTTAACGGATAGACGCCCCCGGCGACCACGGGGAAAATGAACTCGTACGGATTGGGATTAGTATGGCGTAGCAAAGATACCTACGAGCTCGTGGACTTTACGATCATGACGGTGTATTTACGGGCTTGTTATTAGCCGGCGCGATTAGATTTCAAAGAGCGGAGAGAAATCATCCGCTATCCTGGCTTCCTAACCGATGGTTTTCGGACGTTCTTTACGTCTGTAAATACTCGTTCGACGGATTACTGTCAACTTAATCAGTTTCTTGTACGCGGAACTAGTCGAGTCGATATATTTACGACAAGGAACGAGCCATTATTAAAATTGAAACGAAGGTGATTATGTTAATTGAAAACATAGAAGATATTGTAACGGCCCCCTTCAAATGTTATCAACGAGGAAATAAAAAAAGGAAAAAGAATATGGGTCATAGTATTTATTAAAAACAATACGAAAATAGTGATTCATCTTGTTCATCTGGTTATCTTCTCCTTTTTTAAGAGTTGATCTCGCCATGTGCCAAAATCCGATTACTTCAGAGGACTTTTATTTTGTTTCATTATTTGTTATATTTACATTTTACGTCGAGTTGTTTTCTTACGAATTTTAGCAAAAATAAAATACTTAATTGATGGTCATTGTCTGATTTCAATGTTCTTAAAAGATATTGAACAAAAACTTAATGTTAAATTGGAGTATCCTGAGACCTCATGCGACTATTTGTATGATTTCTGAATGCGACTACTAAAGGGTCAAGTTAATTAATTATCGATGAAATTCTTCATAAACCAGGAATTATGGTCTCGTTCGAATATTATTTAGGTGTAGTTTCATCAGGCATAAATTCTCCTTGAGTGTAGGTTCAGTAATTATTAATTATCGTTCGATCGAAGGATTAGGGTGGCGTAAAAGGTCCTCATCGTTCATAGGAATCGGATAGGGACGATCGTTAACGAGATTGAACGTGGAAGTTTCAAAATATTCCGGGATTCTAATTCCCCCCGTGAAATTCATCTGCTCGGTAATACTTGGCGGGGGCATCCCATTGAAACTGGAAAGTCATTATTCATCCTCTAGTACGATCATTATGATTAGCCAATCGACCACCTAGGGCGTTCGCCAACGAGCCTACACAGCCTCGTGGCCTTTGAAGAAAAAAAGGAGGAAATTATAGTGATCGAGAGGCCGACGATCGATTAGTTGATCACCGTTATTATCCCGGTAGTAACGCGTGCACACCGATACCATTTAGCAGCTACAAAATACCCTTCGCCGCCCAGTAAACTAAAACGATCATCAAGGCAATTACAAGTCACTCGACAATTCGAACGATTTTATCACAATTTTTTTTCATGCAGAACACAGTGAACACTTAGGGCTGAGGAGCCTTCGAACACTTATCGATGATTTACTGTGCATACAAAGAACAGAGTTAGGGGTACATTCTTCAATGGGTACAAACAAACTTTTAATAGAATATTATCTTTAATAGAATAAATTCTTTTAAATAGAATCATGTAGTCTTAACTTCATAACGTTACGTATACGTACATTACGATTTTTCTACAATTTCTTTTCATACAGAACATAGGTACAGTTCCTCCCACTGGCAGGAAATTTCGGAGAAATTTCTAGCCGTTCGCATAGATCACCGTGGCCATTTATTTCCGACTCGATCACCGAATTTATATCTACAACGTTCTAGTTTATAACAAATTGCTTGATTTATTCGAAAAAGAAAACGAAGCCATACATAAATTACAGCCGATCCTCCTATTGTTATTAAAAGCATGTTAAAAAGTTTCGCGTTCCCAGGATTGTCGCGAGAAAACATGTCGTTGAGCCCCGAAATTAATCAAATGAACAGCCTGGGAGAGGGAATAAAAAACACAGTCGTATACATACGTACGGTTTCGCGAACGATACGAAAGCACCAGGAGGCGAGTGTATGCATGTCACGCGTATAAGCGCAGCCCGCTCGGACAATAATATCGGCGAATAACCCAGATATTTCGATTGAAATACGCGCGGCCCGAGAGATGCCTACCGATACGGGGCGGCCGATTTCATCGTGCAACATCGGATCGGCGCGAACACACGCTCGAAGCCACGGCGCGAAAATTTATGCCCGACACACGTGCACGGGACTTAACGAGCCGCCGTCTGTTCGATACCGTTTAATTCTTATCTGGCCTGCCTTGATTGGCTCGCGTGCCGCGCCTGGATTAACGCCGTCGGTCCACATTAATTCTGGTAATTAACTTAGTCCCGCCTCGACATGGCCTGAATCGCGGTATCGACACGGAGAGCTCTCGAGAACTTCGACGGTCCCTGGTCAAGAATATACACGTGTTTCAATTCAATCGATAGGATCTGACTGAAGGTAATTAAAAGGAATCTGTTTTTGTGTGTGATATTTAAATGCCATCTATTCTGCGATCTGTAGTAAAAGAAAGAGTAAAACGAAATACAGGTAATTATTGTATATGACATAGGTTTGTAAGAATTTCCGTGTTATGGAAGATCGTGTTACACAAACCTAACAAGGGGAGGATCCTAACTGTCCCACTTCGATTGTATTAGGGTTTTTTCAAACGACAGTGCAGGTTTCTAATGATGTATGTGAAATATTAGGACACTTGATAATTTTATAGATACAAACAAATGAATTCAAATACCTTTA